GCTGAGCCAAGTCCTCCATACATCGTTCCACACGAAACTGGACATAGTCTTTTGGTTCTCCGTTCTTTAAATGGTCCGCTAATGATCTCCAATGGCTCTTAAACCAATACCCATAAATAATCCTTACAACTGTGGATAAACCATGGATGTATAAAGATAAGGGCTAAACAGTAAAGCTCCTGCATTCAAATCAGCGCGGTTAGCAGGCGTTAGTAGTATAGCCCTCTGCCAGAAATGATCACACACTCCTGTAACCAATCCTGCTTCAGACTGAGGTTAGGACCGCCCACCTCATTAGCATACGGACACATAAATAAATAAATAAATAAATGTATGTCGAGTAAATGTAGAAATATATGAAAGATATATAATAACTTGTGTTCTGTTTTATTTTCGACTTTTATTTATTTATTTATACATTGGTGTATTTATTTCCATATTTATTTTAGCATTTATTTATTCTTTTATTTATTTATTTGTGTGTTTATTTCAACATTTATTTATTTCTGTATTTATTTCTTCATTTATTTCTTCCTGTATTTATTTATTCCTGTATTTATTTATTTATTTACGTATTTATTTATTTATTTATTCCTGTATTTCTTCATACATTTATTTACACATTTATTTATTTATTTATTTATACTTAAGTCATGTTCCGTCCTCCATAGTCGGACTGCACATCACAGCGCATTATTTTGACCCACAGTGGGAACTTCAGTCTCATGCTTTGACTGTTATGAAGACAGAGGAGCGGCATTTCGCCGACAACTGTAAACAGGCTTGTCTGTTTGAGCAACTGGCTCAGTGCAGAGAAGTACACCGGGTTGGGAGAGAGTGTAAGAGAGAGAGAGAGGTTCCAGGTTGTTGTGTTGAGAATATTCAGGAGAATATTTGTCATTGTTCTAATGATAATAAACAAACATTTGCATAAAGCATATTTGTCCACTCATATGTTGATAAGAGTATTAAAAACTTGAAAAATATTCCTCTAAGGTACATTTAGAACAGATAAAAAATGTGCGATTAATTTGCGATTAATCGCGATTAACTATGGACATCATGCGATTAATCGCGATTAAATATTTTAATCGACTGACATCCCTAGTTTTTTCCCTTCAAGTAAGGTACATGTTGATTGCACAATGTAATGGCTATAAAATAATGCCAAAATCAATGTTTTAATTGGCTCTCTATAGGCCTTAATGTCACTAATAATTCTGTCAGCGACCTGGTACAATCTCCAGAGAAAAACTAAGGCTAAAATAGAAAGGAAGTGCGCAACTAAAACAGGAAACAGGTAGCGCTTTTGTTTTCCGTTGTAACCATTGGTAGCTATTACCAGTTACCAACTAGTATCAATGTAACTTAATAACCACAGTAGTAAAAATGGTGGAAGGTAAAACGATTGATTCAAAAGTTGAAAAGTGGTCCATTTCCACTTTAACGATATTACTTTGTTTTTTTCAACATGACTCCAAATAAGGAAACATCCTGTTTATGTTACTTGGCAAAGAACCCAAACTAATAATTGTTTACTTGGCAGAATACATCATTTATTTTAATAGCTTGTTTTGCTTATTCATTTCTAAAAGATACTCTATGAAATAGCCTGAGGTATGAATAATGTCTGTGGGATAGTATGAGTGCAATATCAATTAAAACTAATTTGAAAAAGAAAACACCAAAAATGACCACATAACCACATCCTCATTACAGAGGGAACACAGGGGTATTGTTTATTCATAAAGACTTCATTATATTTTACAGCAATGGTGACATCATTGCAATCTAATAAATGTATCATTGGGTATTAAGCTTTCACCACAAATACGAACCGTTGACTTTGAGACGAGGGAACAGGAAGTGGTCAAATGCTAAAAGTCTAATCAAATGTTTTTGGACGTAGAGTAAAAGTACCCAGATGGGTGGCTCTCATGTATCGTAAAACATCTTTGAGCCACTTTTTGTAAATCAACAATTCGATAATCCAGTTACTGAATGTTTATCTCCCTTTGGAGGATTCAGATGACGAAATAATTGTTATGGGAAATGAAGGATGTCCTGAAAAAGTCTTCTAAAAAAGAATTGATGAAACCCCTTGGGATCATCTCGTTTTTAAGAGGGAAAAATGTCTGTCTTTGTGTTACCAAAATGTCCTATTTCCCTTTATAAACAACAGACAAACACACAAAGCTTAATGCAAGATATTCATTAGACAGCACGGAATAAAAAACAGCAGTTTCCATTTACGAGTCCCACAGTGACAGACTATTTATTTGCTTTTTTCTTGTCTGTTTTGCATTTATTTCCGTGGCATGTTGCAGATGTACCTGGTTTGAAATTGCTTTTTCATTACCATATTTTGTTCATGCTTGAGAAGATAGGCTGTCTAAATTCAGTCCAAACTTTCCTTTCAAAACACAGAAAATTGTAACAGGAAAGGACAATGTTTCAACAAAAAGAATACAAAAGGAAACCAACATAGAAAACGATTTGAGGTACAATGTGTTCTAGGCTATATTTTCGTTATGTATTTCCATCAGAATAAATCGTATTTAAATTGATGTGGCTTTACTCATTTTAATGTAGATTTATTCCGAGTTAATTGTGCCATCTGCAACTGTATTATGTAAGAAAGACTAAATAAATCGAATCACCACAGAGTACTGGCAGGTGCTCAATATTGATGATTGGGATTCAGGGATACCTTTTCTAAAGACTCATTTGCAACATCCTGAGTAAGCCTTTTAAATACTTGCCAATAAAGTTGTTGTTTTCTACGGACACAAACTAACTGTGACCAGATTGGAGTCTACGCAAAAGGTTGTAAGCAAATATAGTTTATAAAAATGAAGTTTAACACAAAACCAACAATTAAATGTGTTAAATATGCATTGACTTCCTAACAGTTTGGTTAATGATATTTTACTCAGTGCTGTGAGCAATTCAAACAGATGCAGACTTCTTACAGTAATCATCTTTTAAGGACATTTGTCAAATTCTGTCTCTCTTAAAAAGCCCGGAAACTCATTTTTTGCTGCTTTCTCTTGACTATGGGGCTGTTCTGTACCTGAACACTCACTATCTTCGCTCGCTGAAAGCAATCTATCATGGAGAATGCCCTTGAGAGACCGTTTATCTATTTCCTATAGTCAACTGTAGTCATAATTATCCATGTGCAGAACTTTGCACTGGTATAACTTTATTTTTAAATCCATCCTTGCACTGCTGCCCACTAATTTATCCACCTACATGTCACGTAAACAGCGCTGCCTCTGTTCCTGGAGCTCCATCACTCTCTGCATCCCCTCAGTCAGTCCGTACAGAATTTGGTGGGAAGGCTTTCTCCCACTCTGCCCCCTCGAACAGAAACACACTACAGCAGTACTGAAGCTCTCCACTTTGATTCCCCTCGGGGATTTAAACTACTTTAGGAAAATCTACAGAGAGCGTCTGTGGGGGTGTGCTCTTGTACAAAGTTTTAAACTATCACTCTTGCACTTGTGCTCTACTTAGTCTTTCTTTGTATGTCCTCTCGGTACCTCTGTGTTGTATTGCCGTGTCTTGACCAGGTCTTTATTGAGCATGATGTCATGAGATTACCTGTGCAGCACCTCGGTGACCCATTGGAGAAACTATGTAACACAGTACCCACTTTAAAATACAGATTTGGTTTTGCAGGAATAGAAAAGCGATGCACGTAAAAAAGCAAGGAGTTTGGTCAGCAGGAAGTGAGGTTTAACACCTGAGAGAACACAACCAAATGATGTTCTTAGAATAAACCCCACATCTAATCACAAGACCCCAACCAAAATTCCACCTACCAAATGGAGGATTAGAACCAAATAAACTTGCAATCAACCCTCAGCAACGCCAACACAGTTAGATCCTGCATTTAACCCATCCTTATAAAGGAAACAGTAGGCAGCCATTATATACACAGCAGCCAGTGTTGGGGTCACTTGCTGAGAAGCACCTTAGCAGATGCTAGGAGGTGAAGTGGCACCTCTTAAACAACTCCTAAACTACCAATCCACACTCCGTACTTGATGGCAACCCTCCTTCCAAAGCCGATATGAACTGAGTTACTGCCGCCCCCAAAAATGTGAATAAACAGGTGATAACATAAGTGCTAAACCAAAATATAAAAACCAAAGGTTCCTCTGAATAAAACGCAACTAGCTAACCGAGTCGTCCCGAGAAGCACAACACAACGAGGAAAATACCAACAAAAGAACCAAACAAAGCGGGGGCTCTGTCGCTTATTGCCTATAAGATAGCAGGCAAAGCTAGCAACTTGCAGTAACTAACAAAGCTGCAACAGAAAAACAACTTTATTGCTGATGCTGGCTAACCATGGATTGTACATTATCTGTTCCCACCTGAATCTAATTGGGTTAGCACATTTCATAAATGCTTTGGAATCTGAGCTTCAAAAATATGTGCTTATGACATCCAAACAACTAAGCGTGAAAACTCATCACCCTAACATCAGTTGTGTGGATAGTTCCTCAGAGTCATTTCTCTCTTCAGGGAAATGAACAGATTTCAGAGGAAGGCAGGAACGCACCATGCACCGCCTGCAGCCAAACACCTCTCTACTTCCCTCTCCCTTTTTTCTCTTTTCCCCCACTCACAGAATCTGTCTGCATCTCTGTGGTTTTTCACAATGCTGCTGATATAGGGTTTTGCATTACGCAATAGAACTGCCCCTCCCTCCCTCCCTCTCTCTCTCTCTCTCTCCCTGCCTCTCTCTCTCCCTCCCTCCCTCCCTCACTCGTCCTGATATTAATGACACAGCTATCTGAGGCAGCGGCAGTCCCCCTGCGCTCTCCCTCCTGCAGGCAGTGCTCATACACACACTCACTCTTAAACCAATAGGATCCTGGGCATACATTCACACACTTCTCCATCTGCAGCACACACACTACTTTCCGCATTCAGACACTTTGAGGTCATTTCAGAGGCAGTTGCGGACACTTCACACACACTTAGAAATGAGGACGATTGTGCTGTGCGTTTATGCCAGTCTACTGCTTACAGCCACCTTGGTGCCGCGCACAAGCCGGGCGGCGGACTTCCCCGTCAACTCTCACCAGAGATCGGACTCTAGAGGACCTTTTTCTTTGGGATCTGAATCTGGGACTCCCACCTCATGCCCCATTAAACTGAGACCAACGGGCCAGTGTGGGAGCTCTGGAGCCGGGGCAGATGAGGGGGAGGATTGCCCTTACCAGCTCACCCTGCCTCCCCTCACCATCCAGCTGCCCAAGCAGTTCAGGCTGCTGGAGAAGACGATGAAGGAGCTGCAGAGCTTGAAGGAGGTGGTCAACAAGCTGAAGGGTGGGTGCCAGGAGTGCCGCGGGGCACGGGGGAATGGAGCGAATGGACTTCAGCAAGCGGACCAGGGACAGACGCAGAGGGAAGACCTGACAGGACAGGACGTGCAAGGTGGCACCAGCCAGGAGGAGAGGGGAGATGGTTCTATTTTGGGGAAAAATACTCCGAGCCCGAGCACTATGCAGGAGATGCAGGTAAGAGGCTCAGTTTGGTCTCACAAAAAAGAGAACTTTCAACACTTATAGTTCCTTTTACCAATGAATGTACACTATTATGACAAAAAATATAAAGCTAGTTTTCAGAAAATATTCTTGTGACTGAAAAGTTGAGTGAATTGTCATCTAAATTAGCATATTATTGGTTTTGGCATTGTTGAAACTGTGTAAAATCTGGACACGTTATGTATCGTGTAAATATGATTTCTAGGTCTGTACTGACAATGTGGTACTGCACCAGTTTCTGTATTACCATCAGAGAGATGTCAATTCCCTGTAAGCCACTTCCTCAACTAGCTTGTGAAGATTTAAGTGACTCTGACCTAAACAAAGTGATAAAGATGAAGCGCTTTGTAGGAATAAAGTCATCCCAATTTGCCCGGTCAAATGTATCCAGCTGGAAAGCAAACTGACCAGATGTTGAAAGACCTCTAAAGTCCAACCTGGCACCACTCCACCAGGGAAAAATTCCTGTGACTGTAAACAGGGTGTGGGACCAGTGTCAGACACCAGCCAAATGGCGGTGATTGTTTTGTAGGTTTGTCCACTCTCACAGCCATTTTGGCAGACGTCCAAACACCACGTAGACTCGTTTCTATTCAAAAATAGAACTCGGGCTGGTAAAACAATGAATGAGGCTGGTGACAGTAATCCACCTGCTTTGTATTCTGTGCACAGAAATCATTTTCTCCCCCCCCACCCCTGCTCTGGCCCTTCCCAGGTGAAAATGAATAGGATGTCGGCCAGCTTGCGCAACGCCAGGAACCAGATCACGGCTATGCAGGGTCACCTGGAGGGGCTCAACCTGCTCAACATGGACAACGTGAAGTCTGTGGTGGACCAGCGGGTGGAGAACATCACCGGAGTGATCAACAAGCTCAGCTCCACCTGCACTTCCCAGTGTGCAGTTCGGAACAGCCCACAGAGTAAGCCCGCTTTTACTAAGATTAGTTTGGCAGCAGTCGTTTCTTTTTTGGCGGTATTTTTTCTTCACTGCCATTTGAAAGCCCTCTCCATCTTCCCAGCTATTTACTAAACGTATTCTCTTTTGACAGAAAACCTCTTGTGATTTTTTATTTTGTTATATTACATTCCGTTCCATCTTTGCTATTTCAAAAGATGCCTCTCCTCTTTTCATGTATTACATTTTTTTGCAATCTCTGCTTGAAAAAATGCACCACACAGATGTAGATATGGTAATGATTCTCCCACACACGCATAGCAGTTTGAGGGTTGTTGTAAGGTGACTTCTCTGGCATTGGATCTATCCAATCAGGCCTGAGTGGGCATGGCGACTTGTTATCACTACAAACAACCCAACTCTGGGTGGTCACCTTCACCCAGTGAGACCTTTCCTTCTGGGAAATGGGAAGTGAAATCTTCCAGGCTGACGATGACATTGACATCTGCTCACAGTGGTTTGTTGTGAGCGACATGCTTTTGCTATTATCGGTATGAAGAGCGTTGCATAATGTTCAAAAACGTCCACTACTGTAGCAGAGCCTCTGCTGGCTAAGTGCAGCCATAACAAAAATTCTAAAATAGTTTTGGGCTGAAGTCATATTGAGTGAAGCAATATGACTACGAGGGTCAAAGTGAGTATTGAAATTACCTTTTATATAACTATTTCAAGTACCTTGACATTCCACTACCCTCCAAATGCACAACAACTCAAAAAGGGAAAAAGATACTTGGCGGCCTACATTACTGAATACTGTGATGTGAAAATAATGTATAATAAAAAATTGTTTCTAGGTTTCTGAAAAAAGGAAGTCCAGAGATTAGTACAGCCTCATTATGGAAACTTTGAAAAATGTATTAGTAGAGATTGCAAACTAGCCAAGCATAGCAAACATTCCCCTTTGCGTCTATGTAAAAGCTTATTTGGATGAAAGCGTCGTTGAAATGCAGGCCTCTTTTCAGGCTGAATAATATCCCGATATTGCATGAGTGAATGTGACATTATATTGCGGGGCTTTTATGTGGAAAACAGATGTGAGCTTATTTCTAAGTAGATTAACTGGGACAGTGGTGTGAAGGGAATCCCGGCTTTCTCTCTTCTTCTTCTGTTTTCTTCCTCCCTAAATTTGCTCCGTTCTCCTTCAATCCTGTCCTCTTTCACTCATACATTTATTCCTGTCTATCTGCTATTCATCGCTCCATTTCCCCTTCATATCTCCTCTCTTGCTCACTTTTTCTTCTGCCACAACTTTCCCGACTCCATCCCACTTGAATCCCCTTTTCCTAGGTTCCCTACCCCTCCTCTCTCTTCCTCTGGAGGTCATGCTCTTGAGTGCTCATTCCTGCATGAAACAACTAGCTCTCATTATCTCTTGACAACACCACAAGAAGTCATGTGGGCGGCTTTCTCAACATTAGTCACGGATGGCACCCAGGGTCAGTAACACTTGTCTTTGAACATCAATCTGCCATGTTAAACTCGAGATCCGGCAATTTATGCAACAGCAAGTTAGGAAATGATGCCCATTGGTGTCTGAAGTGGAACCAAAAGAAACAGGAAGAAAACAGCTGTTATTACCAGGGAGATTCATCGAATACGTTTACAGTTTCACAACAAGAGTATAAACCCTCTTCAAAAAGACAAGATTAACATTTTTTTCTGATCTTCGAGATTTCACAGCTGGACAAGTGTGAAGTCATCTTAAAACAAACCAACACAAGATGAATGACTATGCCCTCTACTTGATTTCAACACGACGTAGAGAGAATGTTTTCCAGTTGTTTATCGTAGTGCTTAGTGAGGCAATTCCTGTCTAAATGGTTCCCCTGCCTCCTGAATAAACTATATATATATATACAGCTGCCAAATTGCACCTCCCCTTTTGCATGAATCAAATTGACATTCTGTTTTCATCCGAAGCGATACGAGCGAGCAGACGTAAGATGCCATCGTCTGCAGATTATATCAATTTAGGGAGACGTCATAAGAGACAGATGTGGATTTTGATCTAGTTAGGAGCTGAAGTGATGGATCTATATGGCGAGCAAATGTTGAAAAACCACTCGCACATAAAAAGGGATTTATAATCTAAACTCACTGGTGCAGCTCATTAGGCTACACTATACAGTTCGTAACATTTACACTCTGTAGGCTTGAAAAAGTGTCTTTTGAACTTCCTTTTATCCCTATCAATGCCACTTTGTCACAAGCTCAAAGAGAGAGCAGCTAATGAGGGACAAGCAGCTAATAACCCTAACCCTAACCTTAATAAAACACTGGCATACATTACCCAAACACTTAAGGCCAATGTGAATAGCCATTTCACCATCAAGCGACAGTACGTTTGCCAAGATGCTTTTATCGCTCACTGCTGCAAGTGTGTCTTTCACCCTGTTTGCCAATTCCCATCCCTGCTGCAAGCACTAATCTTCCCTTTCACCGCTGTAAGACATATTAAGGCCTTGAGGTGAACGGGTAGCAATTCATGTTACTGTTCGGCTACATTTACTCAATTACGGACAGAGAATGGATGCTCAGTTGGCTGTCAAGAACTGCTTGTCTGCGATTGTGGTGACACACAGCTTCCGAAAAGGAAGGGTGTTGCTTTTTGATTTGTGTCAAAACAGACGTTGTATTTTTTGTGGGGAAAGATTATACTATCACTTTGTAGACACATTTCCTTCCATTAGAGGTGCTAATCTAAGCTGACTACTGGTTGTCACAGAGCGCGCTTCCTTGATAACAGGGTTGTCTTCCTTTCATGCCAATCATTGATATGCGTGCCAAAGAGGCGAGGCGAGGTTCGTCAAGAATTGGGCTAAAAGGCGTCAATACTTTTTGGAAGTTTCTAAGAAATCAGTCAAAGGCCTCAGCCATAAAACTAACCAATCATTTGACTCAACAGCAAACATTTGGACACCAGTAGGTGGTTGATATTATAGTTATTTAGGTCAGGCACAGTGCCAGAAGTAGTCAAATGAGATAGCTCTTCTGCCTATGGATGCTGGCTGCAGACAGATGGTGACAAATAGAGATGTGAAGTGGAGAAACTACCCTCATTTAAAGTGAAGGGGACACTGGAAGAATTTATAGCACAACACTTTGAATGCCAAGTGCAGCGAGAGCCGTTAACGTGACAAGGATACATTTTTCAAACATCATGCACTGCTTCCAGATTGCGTGATCTACAATTCTGCAGCCATTTTGCACACAAAGTTCTCTGCATATGTTGACAGGAAAATGTAGAAGATGGCTACAGAGATATAGCAACCAAAAGACATGAATGGTGCTTTTATTTTTGCACACCATGCACTTACAAAAACTTAGGAAACACAAACCTTACATTGCTGCACATTGCTGATCTTTCCTTCCTGTGCTTGAAGAAACCTCTGGTATCAGTATGGCTCTGTTCCACCGTTGTTCTTTATAATCTACCATGCCATTTAGCAGATTTAACAGTATGACAAATCTGTATCAGCAGAGGACCGCGTCACTCAGTCGGGGTCCACATGCTGCCTGCCCAATGTCAAGATGATTCAGGCCCCAGGTGCCAAACGTGCAGGGAGGGGGTACGCTTCTCTAATCCAGTTTTACACTTTCCCACGTTTTGACAAGTCTGTTCTTTTAAATTCCCAAATGCTAACTGACAGGGGCCTTTGGATTTCGGTTTTGGATGGGGTCAGCGGCCCGCAGTGCGACACAGGGGCCAGGAGCAAGAGTTAGAGAAATAAGTGGAAAGATATTTTAGAAAAATGTGGGAAGAAATCTCAGAAAGTAGCAGAGCTGTCTGAAATGTCCCGCGGTGCAACAAGGGAGAATGTCGTTGACTTTCATCCTCTGACAGTGGCCACTGTCCTTTGCTTTCTTTTCTTTTATGTTTCAGTCCTCATGTGATTTCCAGAAAGGGACATCATGGTGAGGATGAGCAAGAGTGTTCTCAAGTGCTTACAGAAAGATAGTTCTCAGTTTAATGCTTGATGACACGATGATTGATCTGCACTTGGCAATAGTTTAGTCAGAGGCTAGAGAACTGAAGTTGGAATGTGTTGGAATAGACTTCCCCCGGAAATTAATGCAGGATTGAGCACTTCCACAACGGTTCAAGCTGGATTTCCTGCTAACTTATCACATGTTTTTTCCATTCTTGAAGGACAAATGCCAGAGCAAACTCATTATGTAAAGGTCACCTATTATGCAAAATCCACTTTCTCATGTCTTTTATACATAAACACGTGTGTCCTCTGTGTAAAGAGATTCTGGAAGTTTCAGGAAAAAAGATTCTCTCACTTTTTGTCCTGATCCATTTATATAAAAACCTGTCTGAAAATGAGCTGATCAGATTTTGGCCACTTTATGATGTCATAACGATTTTTTGGCTTGTGTAACCATTAGCCAATCACCAACCAAGGTAACCCCCCCCCCCACCTTATCACCTGAATCTCCTCCTAGAGCACTATTGTGTTCTTTGTAACCAAATATCTCCCAGAGGGGCGTGGGGAGTGGCTCCTTATTTTCATCTAAAGTAACAGACAGAGAATCAGCACTTTTGAAACAGGGCTGAAACAGAGGGGATTATGGGATTCTGCAATGATCTGTTTGGTATTCCAGGCAAACACTTCAGAGACATGTTTTGTACATGTATATATCTGAGACTTATAATATATTGATGAAAAACAGTATAATAGGGGACCTTTAATATCATCCAGTAAGATCTCCTACAACCACCTCTCATCGTCCATCATGTCTCTCTTTGTGCCATCAGTGATCTTTGCCCCTCGGGACTGTTCAGACTACAATGTGCTGGAGGCGAGGAAGAACGGTGTGTACAGCGTGACCCTTGATCCCCGCAATGGCTCAATTGACGTCTTCTGTGACATGGAGTCCTATGGGGGCGGATGGACCATGATACAGCAACGGCTCGATGGGTCTGTCAGCTTCAACCGCACCTGGGCCGAGTATAAGAAAGGCTTCGGGAACCTCAGGTAATGGGCTTGGGTTTATTTCCTACCCTCCTCTCAAAAGATATCTTAGGGTCGGGAACAGTGGCGTCGCCTGGCCTGGGCATCCGGGGCTTTAGCCCCGAATGTTTTTTCTGTAGCCCCGGACAATTCTCCCTCAATAATATAATACATTAACCGTGCTTTACGTGAACCTCATCATGACACGAGAGGACGGCAGCACTGTAATTTCCCGTGTTCAGTGAATGCAACAGAGGCATGACACCAGACCAATCAGAGAGTTGCATGGAAATAAACGTGTGCTTGTGTCATTCAAGCTCGGCTCTGTGTGTGTGTGGCAATAGCGCATTTAGTGTGATAGAGAGAGAGAGAGAGAGAGGGAGAGAGGGAGAGAGGGAGGGACCGGTGCCAGCAGGGACCGTGTTGTTAGCATCTGGTTAGCTCGCTGCACTAACGGACATAAGGAGCTGTTTGTTCCACAAGAAGCTGGAGGAGAGTCCTCTCCTCTCAGACTGAGAGACTCAGGTGAGCTAAAGGACTCTCTGAGTGTTTAGATACTTAACTTTAGTCTAAGTTATCTCAGTGGGTCTCAAACGGTTTGGTCACAAATTATTCAAAAGATTATTTCCGCGGCACACCTTCATATGATCATTATAGTTATAAAAAAAATAAGAGAATAAAGGAAAAACAGTTATGAAATACTATATGGCAGTAAAACAAGAATAGAGTTTAAAAGGGGAGTGATTAGTAAAATATCCATAAAGAAAAAGTACATCTGTTTACAGTTCTGCTTCATATGGGTGTTGAGAGAGGTATCCATAGATCTCTTCATTTTGCTCTCAAAGTGCACCAGATTGATGCATTTAACTTCAATATTTAAAAATAAATCTTCCCGGGGGAGCATCCCCCCGGACCCCCCTAGAGGAGGTGAGGTCCGCCCCCCACTCATAAAAAAGACCACTTTACCCCTGCCTATATGCCGTGAGCTGATTATCGAGCCTTCATTGTAACAGTCGCGGGTGTACTGTGTGTGTGCGTGTGGGGAGTGTTGCAGTGAAAAATGCCACTGTAGTGCCGCCGCCACTGTGGGCTAAGCCCCGAATGTTTTCAGGTCCAGGCGACGCCCCTGGTCGGGAACATTTGGAAACCAAAATGACAGTTGTGGTTTAGAGGCTTAAAAGACAACCAGATATATCTAACTGGTATCGATAAAAGTATTGTCTCTGCGTGGTTTTCCAACTTAAAGGGGCCATGTTATGCTTTTTGTGGTGCTCCCTTTCCTGTAGTGTATTATATAGGTTATATGTAAATTGTCTGCAAAAACAAAAAATTCCCACACACTCCATCCCCCCCCCCCCCCCTTGCCTGAAACGCCTTCATTAAACTCCTTTGTTTACTACCGTAACAAAATGATATCACTGACACACTCGCGCTTCTATTGCCTAGCGTTCCAATGCATTGTTTGCAATATGCTAAGGACATTTCAGACACACCTCTAAGCAGTTGACCAATCACAACAGAGCCGGCCAGCTAACCAATCAGAGCAGACTGGGCTCTGGTTTCAGACAGAGGGTGAAAAGAGGTGCAGCAGCACAGGCAGTATGAGAAAAATAAAGAGCTTTTTGAAAAATAAAGCCTGTAAATATTTCACAGTCGAGCCACAAAATACAAATATGAATCTGAAAACGAGCGTCATATGACCTCTTTAATAGAAGAGGAAAACTAAATCAACAAAAAAACTGAACAAGGAAAAAGAGAAAGACATTCAGATAACCTAAAAAGTATGATAAAATAAGAACAATTACAAACTCAAGAACAGATTGGTGAAAATCATCACGTAAATCCCCTATTTGTAGCAACAAGCTGCCATCTACCCAACAACTGTACCAGTAACATAATATAATCTTCTCACTTCTCACTGGGCGGCTGTGGCTCAGTGGATAGAGTGCTGGACTTCGAATCAGGGGGTAGCAAGTTCGAGTCCCACTGCAGTCAGCATGTCGTTGTGTCCCTGGGCAAGACACTTCACCCCAAATTGTTCCCGTGGGGATTGTCCACAGTATTGAATGTATGTAAGTCGCTTTGGATAAAAGCGTCTAACAAATGACATGTAATGTAATGTAATGTTAAATGTAATCCTACTATCTGCTCAGGTAACCTATTGGTGAACAAGAATGTAACAATTCCCTTCACATGCAAAATATAGATAAAAGCAAATGACTACAGTACAGCTGACCCCTTTTAACAGAATGCAATTAATAATTTAGGACTAGAAAAATTGTTTAAGATGGGGAAATAGCTTCCTGGGAAAATGGAAGGAAGCAGCCGTTCATTACAGACTATTTTCTGTTTTAACGCATCGCCCTTTCTATAACTAGATTCATATTTCAGGCCATGTTCTGCCCTCTGCTCCTGAAGGAAGGAGTTTTATATGACAACCATGGATGTAGTATAACCTCCCACTGAAAGAATAATGTCTCCTCTCAACCCTCTTTTACCGTCACACTCCTCTGCCCTTGCATCTCCTCCTCCCCTCTGTCATTAACTTAAATCATGTTGAGTAGCTTTCTAATCAGATGCACACCGATATGCGCTTTTTAATAATATCAATTTGTTTTACCTTGTCCTTTCCCCTCTTATCTGTACTTCCCCTCTTCTGTAGAGGTGAGTTCTGGCTGGGCAATGACCATATCCACTCGATGACAAAAGCCAAAGACATGGTGCTGCGCATTGAGCTGGAGGACTTCGAGGGTGTCCGGGAGTACGCAAAGTACGACCAGTTCTATGTGGCCAATGAATTCCTCCGCTATCGACTGTCTATCAGTGGATACAGGTACAATTTTAGATTCTCTGCTTGCACGCTCGATCAAATATTCATAAAGAAGGACTACATCTTATATAAGTATTGATGTTTCTTGCAGTGGGACAGCTGGGAACGCCATCAATTTCAACAAGCACTTCAACCACGACCAGAAGTTCTTCTCGACGCCCGACCGCGACAACGACATGTACTCCTCCGGAAGCTGCGGCGCCTACTACAGTTCCGGTTGGTGGTTCGACGCCTGCATGTCCGCCAACCTCAACGGGAAGTACTATCACAAGAGGTACAAGGGAGTGAGGAACGGGATCTTCTGGGGAACGTGGCACAACATGTCCACGGAGTACTACCCCACCAACTACAGGCAGGCCTTCAAAACCGTCAAGATGCTGATGAGGCCCAAGAACTACGCTCCGTAAGGGGACAGGTAAATATGAATATGGAAAGACAGAGAATAGACGGAAAAACACCAACAATTAGTCATGCATTTGCTCACTTACACTGGAAAAAATGCTGCTCCAAAATCAAGTAAAAGAATAATGAAAACAAGGTGTTTTCGCGTGTAATAAGTAAAAAGATCTGTCAATAGAACAAGTGAACATGTGCTTGGTTAGATTTCTTGAAATAAGAAGATCTTGTGATAAGCTGGGAAAACTTATTTTGAACTATATCTTACCAGGATCAGGAAATGTTCTGTTGCCTCAAATGCTCAAAAGTTTTCAGTTTTCTGATGTTAGTTGGTGATTTTCCAATAAGTATTTTTTTTAATCAAGATGAACCATCTTTTACAAAAACCACAGCAGCTTAAAGATGCATTGTCTAAAAACAAGACCCTATATCTCACTGCATTGTTATCTCTTCAGTTATTAAGTCTTATATCGAGTGTAAAGACATATTCTGACTAGAAATTAGACGAATATACTTGGCAAGATTTTGAGTTTTTACAGTGCAACTCATGAGAAAAAGACAATTGTGAAAGTAAATGTAACATTTTTTTAACCGTGCCATTACTTTTCTCCACTGCAGTGAGCGCGGCCGTCAAAGAATGTCGGATTCAAATGATGATACTAAAGGACAATGGACTATGAACGATGATGGACTAATAAAAAACACACACACAATCTAAAGGCCAGCCTCCTACAGTGGCCATCATATTCTACGGTGGGTTAACATGAGAGATTTTTCACTGTTTTTCTGACATTTCTCCACTTTCTGTCCCCCCTGCTATAAAAACCAGCTGAGACACGGCACAGCACACAGTGGTAGTAAAAACTAATGAGCTATCATTTTCTCCCTTCTAAATGGTTTCATAATTAACAGCAGCCACTCGAGTGAGGTATATGAGAGCTGATGATACAGTTTTTAGTGGCTCGGAAATTCATTGTGAAAGACTTCATGCCGGGGTCAGAGTCAAAATGTTTAAAAAATAACTACAGGAAGTGATATACGACACGCTTTGGGTAGCGGTGCACAATTAATAGCTTCTGTGTCGTTCACTTAATTACACTGGGACACTTTGCTAATGTATCATCATCCTATACAGTATAAAGCATCCAAGGATAAATACGCACCCTGAAATACAATTCTATTGGATCGTCCCCAAGTACACTCTGCATTATTGATGCTCCATTACATTTTTCTTGACAGCAGCCCCGGCGCAGGACACTGCTGCAAAAATAACCTGTTCCTATTGTACTCCCCCATTATCTCTGGGTGCACTGAACTACTGCACATCTCTTGATGCCATGCACCAGTTTTCATGTGTAAAAAAAACCTCCCTGAGTCATCACTTGTACAATACTGCCGCCTAACGTTAGCACTCTGTAAAGCACCATTTAATCCATTCTATGCGCACTGTGAATGGGAAGGATGGGGAAAGAAACTTTAAGGACGTGTACAGTATTTATTTTATTTTGTGAGGTATGACAGCTTTTATATGATACATAGGTCATACAGGACAAGTCTAATGATTGTTGATATTCAAGCAATGTTGAAGACTGTGCAGTATTGTGACCATTCATAGTAATTATGTGTGTATTTGGAGCTTCGTGTGTGTACGATATTGATCTTTTCTATCATTCATATTCAACCGTCATGCCAAAAGATTATGCACTTTTTTATATCAAAAAATGAATAAAGTTCTAACTTCATGGCCGTGTACATTTCAGTGTTTGAAATCCTGTTGAAGGCATATGAGTAGAAGTCCCTCAAAGTGCAGGCTATTTGACGCCTGTCATGCTGCATGCCCATAATGAACGGGTTAATGAGGTGTTGACTCATTAAAGTGACTCAATAAAAGAGGGAGTACATATCAGTCATCACGGAATCACACTGTGGGCCTGTGACTTTAATGTCTGTTTACTGTATGTGACCATCAAGTTAATAAAAAATGATTGTGCTCATCCACATGATGAATTCAATTCCAAGTATTTACTTTTCTTTAAACATTAAGGTAAATGGTGTATGGCCCAGAAATCCATGTACAGTACCAAGATATATTTTAAAGATAATCTATCAGGGAAAAAAGGCAATGAAGTAAATGTGATCATTGCCAGAGGGGGATAAAGTACTCAGATCCTGTACTTAAAGGGGACCTATCATGCAAAATGCACTTTTGTACGTCTTTTATACATGAATATGTGTCCCCGGTGTTCCAGGGAACTCACCAAGTGTCAGAAAACACAACCCTCTCTATTTTCCTCCATACCCAAATCTCTAAAAAAGGGGCTGCAACGGATCTGATAAAAACTGATCCAGATTTGAACACTGTCCTGACGTCAGGACGGTGGCGCTACGGCTATTGGGCCAACTCCACCAATCAGGAGGAGACAGCCACGGCCATTGCCGTTCGAAAGCGCTGGAGACGCTGTAGTACATATGCCAGGCCTGTAGATGGTGCTGTTCTCAAAGAATCAGCCCTTGCAAAAACAGAGCTAAACATTTCAAATTGAGCGAAATGAGGCATGGCTAAAATGCATGATCTGTTTGGTATTTTGAGAAAAAAAAAGTATAAATATGCCTTATATAGGTATGGTCCTACACTATATTATTCAAATATAGCATGATAGGTCCACTTTAAGTAAAAGTTGAAATACTATGCTCTTAAACTACATTACAAGTAAACATCCTGAGTTCAAAATGTTACCAAAGCAATAGTACAATAGGCATCAAAATGTAATTAAAGTAGAAGTACTCATTCTGCACGGTGGCCCATTGCAGTGATATAAAGTACAAAAGTATTATCAGCTGAATGTAATTATCAACGGTAAAAGTATGCAGAAGGGCTATTTCAAAGTCATTTTAATATTAAATAATATTGTTTTTATAACATGTACAAGCCTTTTAATGTTAAAGTGTGTCAATGTGGAGCCAATTTTAAAAGACTTTGTCAAATACATGATAGAGAAGAATATATTGTGTTATCATATATTAAAAGTAACTAGAGTGTTAAATAAATGTAGTGTAATAAAAAGCACAATATTTACCTGTGGTTTCTAGTGGAGAAGTATAAAGTAGCATTACATAGAAATACTCAAGTAAAGTAAAATGATAAATAATACTGAAGTACGGTACATGTGCTATGTTTGTCTTTCATATGAAACCTCTAAAATGCTATTTAATTTATAATTTATTTAATATATAATCTATTTAAATGACTATTAATCATCATGCATGAGTCTTACCTCCTCAAGGCACTGGAAGGCAGAGCTAGCAGTTACATCAGTAGTAGCAAAGGATGGATCCTCTGGGAGTGAAGCATCAGGTGTAAGGGCTACCTGGGGGGCATCCTCATCTTCCTCCTCCTCCTCCTCCTCCTCCTCCTCCTCCTCCTCCACTTTCACTTCTCCTCCACTGGGATTCATGCAACCCTGTTCCTCCTCAGATTGACTCACTAATGCAAAAACATATAGATAGGTGCAGTCCATGAACCAATTTATTCATAAGTATTCGTAGATTGAAGGCAGGGAGAAAGCATGGGGAATAAGAGCAATGCATTTATGAAACAGGATAAAAACATCAACAATAGCAACATGCTATGCAGGATGGGTAACTCTGAATCTTCTTCATCTTAATTGATAAATACTCTGTAATTTCCCCAGAGTTGAGTTACCCCCCAAAACCAATTGAGGGGTCAGAAGGTAATTTGGTATGAAAGGTGTTGCCAAAAAGCTGTCTATCAATACCACAAACCGGAAGTACTAGCAAGAGCTCTTTAAAACACACGTTCAATATTCATAGCTGATTTTAAAGGGGAATAAATAATGACAATATGTATATTATATAATATATGAAGTCTATGCAAGGTGGTATAGGGTCAGTATCACCTAAATATGTGAGCAGTGCGCTTTTATTTTGAATGAACCGAGTTCAAAATCAATACAAGATAGTTTAGTTTATACTTTGTTGACTAATGCTCAACGCCAAAACATAAACGTCCCTTTCTTTGGCGTAATCATAAAAAAAAACAGTCTTCAGTAAAAATGCTCCAGGTTTATGTGTAACGTTACTGTTAATGCTAATTTACGTAGCTAAAACATAAGCTAAGCGTTAGCTAACAATACAAGTAGTTCATGTTTGTGTCGGTGTTTGTTTGCTAAACAAAGAAACAAATATTTCTACAAAAGTCTTACTTGTAAATGTCTTGAATCCTCCTTGAAAACTCCGTCCCTTTGTGAAATGAAACTACAAAACCGTACGCATTTAACAGTTTAAATAACGTTAAAGCTAACAGCAGATGTTAGCAAAACTCAATCACAGTTTTCTCTCAGGTTAAATGCTGTGTTCTGGTTACTATAGCAACGACGTCATGCGCCACTAATCACGTCAGGTTACGTGCTTTATTTTCACCACGCTTCATTATATCCAAGCTATGTTTAGTGTTTTCTCCTTAAAGTTAACATTTGATGATATGCAAAGATGTAACAGTTTAAAACAAGTGCATCCATTTAATCAAGTTTTATTTAACACTTGCAGTGAGTGTCCAGCAGATGGCGGTAAATAGTAGGGCTAATTTACTGTAATGTCAAAACAAAGCATCAACATGTGTCATGCAATGTCAACAGAGAGCAGCAACACAAGCCAGCTGACTGTACACTGAATGGTAACAAAACAAATCTGGAACCAACTGACTTCAAAGGTGATGGTGATGGTGCAATACTGCTTTTCTCCTTCTTCTTTCAAATTCCCACAGTGCACTCTGGGAGTTGGCATGACCGATTACTCACTCCCTGCAACAGCTGCGAGGATGTGTTATCTATCTCAGCAATGCATCTGTGTGAATGCCAATATGTGTGTGTGTGTGCATACAATATGTATGAAAGAGACCTTTCTGCCAACTAAAGGTAGAGACAGACATGATATAACTCCTCAAAAAGCTGGGTGCCACCAAGCAAGAAACACCTTTAACCCTCACCCTCTTTAATAATACGTTCAGCCTTGAATCTCTGCCAGTGATGAATTGTGGGAGGCAGTTTTAGACTGTGTTTTCCTACATGGTATGTTCTTGATTTACCTTAGGTTTACTGGCTGTCGCACAAATAACCCCTCTTCAAAGGCTGCACTTATTTCCTGTGCACAAACATATTCTCAAAACCATATGGTGTAACACATGGTACAGGTTTGTGCATGTGTTATGCTGTGTGTGCCCCAGAATGAGAGGTATGTAAATTCACACACATGTGGAAAAAACATTGTGTGTTAATGCATGCACATATGCACAAGACCTCTCTGATTCAACTGGTTTCACTACAGAAAAACCAACCAATCACTTTAACCATACCTGACTAAATGAATGTACACACCCTTGCAATTTAGTTGGTTTGGCTGAGTATGTGTTCATTTCTTCGCACAGGGTCAACACATAAAATAAGTGATTTCTCTCATTGAATGCCATTTAGTTTGACACATTGTCCGTGGTTTGGCTTAAAGGGCCCATGTCATGCTTTTCCGGTTATTACCCGTCCCCTTGTGTGTTATGAAGGTTTTTATGCATGTAAACGGTCTGCAGAGTCACAAACCCTCAAAGTACACCCTGTAGCGAGTAAAACTCTAACACAGAAAATACCTGTTTATGCTGCCCCAGAACGCCTCGTTGGAAATTTCTCATTTTCCATTGTTTGCTTCCTGGGTACTGTGACGTGTGAATACCCAAATCAACAACAAATGACCGGATTGGCCCCAATGGACCAATCCGCGGAGCACCTCACACACCAGGATCCCTTGGCTAACTAACAGGGAGTCCCTGAACGCTGGTAATAGACGAGTTGGGATCGTGGAGAAATGCTCACGCAGACCCATTCTCACAGCGTTATAAACCTTTTTTTTACTCAATATCAAGCCACACGTATTGTTTTTACTTCGGCTGTGAGTGTTTGTGTGTGCTCAGGATGAGTTTCGCTTGTTCTCGCTGTATCGCCGACCCGGAAGCCTGTCCGCTCCTCGCAGCAGCTCACTGAGCAGCTGCAGCGAGCAGCCTCGCAACGTCCCGACCAATCAGAGCACACTGGGCTCACAGGGAGGAGGGGGGGGGGGGGGGGGGCAGGAGCTTCAACAAGCCGTTTAGGACAGAGAGTGAATACCTGGTGAATACACATACTATACAGAGATGCTGTATGAGAAACCAATGTGATTTTGGAATATTGCACAATTTAAATCTATTCTAGTAGACCTCAACAATGGAAATATGATCAGTAGAAATGGCCATGACATGGGACCTTTAAGTATAAAGAACACATGTTAATGCAGGACAAATTCCCCATCCACACTTTTTAAAGATGTCTTTTAAAGCATGTACTTATAATTTTTATTTAAATCTTACTCTCCAATTAAACCTGTTAATTATGTCTCCCTAACTTTACTACCCTTTGTTAAAGCTGTTAAATTACCCAGCGCTATGGGGTGAATTTTTTTCGACCTTGAATCCTCCAACTGTCTGGTTACAGTATGCTCACTAATGAATCCTGGCAGACTCCAGTTTATTTTGCAAAATGAAAATATACCCCTTCCTGTACGCCTAGTGTGACTATTTTTGGCAAAGAAAAACACAAGATAAAGTTTTATAGCTACTTCAGGGGAGAGTAACAACAGTGCAAAGGATCATGGGAAATATATAGGAACCCGGAAAGAGTTATTGCTTCATGTTTGTTGCTGA